GCTGAGGTCGTTGATTCTACTTTCTGAGCTTCCGATGGTAATGAAGCTACTGCTTCAGGTGTAGAAGCAATGTCAACAGGATATGTGAAGTCGGCGATGAAATCTGCTACTGCTTGACCTTTTTCGGCTGGTTTTTGTTGGTAGGAGATGTCAAACTCACCCAATGCTATCGCCCATTTGATCATTCGCCCAGACGTGTCAGGACTCTGGAGTATCTGTCGAAGAGGGTGATTGGTAAGCACGATGATGGCGTGTGCTTGGAAATAAGGGCGAAGTTTCCGAGCAGACATGACCAATGCTAGAGCTAATTTCTCAATGTTGGAGTATCGTGTCTCCGCATCTTGTAGGGCCTTGCTAGCGTAGTAGACGGGCCGTTCGACACCACTGTCCATTCGAATAAGAACAGAACTGACTGCTGAAGCCGAAACCGATAGATAGATGATGAGAGTGTCACCAACTTCTGGTTTGGAGAGCAGAGGGGCTTTACTCATGTACTCTTTGAGGTTCCTGAATGCCTTGGCACATTCCTCCGTCCATGTAATGTACTTCTTATTTCCCTTGAGTGCTTTGAAGAAAGGAGCACATCTGTCTGTGGCCTTAGAGATGAATCTGGTTAAGGCTGCCACCTTGCCAGTAAGGCTTTGGATGTCTTTTGAAGTTATTGGCTTTTTCATATCGAGGATTGCTTTGATCTTTTCAGGGTTAGCTTCAATGCCTCGTTGGCTAATCACGAAGCCTAAGAATTTGCCAGAGCCCACACCGAAGGCACATTTGTTGGGGTTCAACCTCATTCGATACCTCTTTAGAATGGTGAAAGTTTCAGATAGGTCGGTGATGTGTTGGTCAGCATGTTTGCTTTTGACTAGCATATCATCAACGTAAACTTCCATGTTCTTCCCAATTTGTTCGGCGAACATTGAATTGACCAGTCTCTGATAAGTTGCTCCTGCATTCTTTAGGCCGAAAGGCATGACTTTATAGCAATATAGTCCCCTGTCAGTAGTGAAGGCCGTGTGTTCTTGGTCTGAGGGGTTCATGAGGATTTGGTTGTATCCTGAATAAGCGTCCATAAAGCTCAAGAGCTCACACCCTGCCGTAGAGTCTATAAGCCTGTCAATAAGAGGAAGAGGGAAACTATCTTTCGGACACCCTTTGTTTAGGTCGGTGTAGTCAACACACATCTTCCACAAGACCTTTGGAAGCGAAAGACTTTCTTTGGTCGGATTTTTCCTAACAAGGACCACATTTGCTACCCATGTCGGGTAATTGACTTCGCGGACAAAGCCTATGCCTTTGAGTTTTTCAACTTCTGCTTTCATTGCCTCGTATCGTTCAGCGTCATAAGATCTTCGCTTCTGTCTCACCGGCTTGATCTTGGGGTCAATACTCAAACGATGACAGATGACATCGGGAGAGATGCCTGGCATGTCCTCGTATGACCAGGCGAAGACTTCAGTGTTCTCTTTCAAAAAAGATATCAATGCTAACCGAAGGGGTGGTGACAATGTGGTGCCAATCTTCACCATGCGATCTGGATAATCTCTTGAGATAGGTACCTTCTCCAACTCTTCAGCAGGTTGAGCTTGCTGGGTGAAAGAGTCATCTCGAGGATCATCGGGTTGATTGTTGCTATCAGGAAGATCCAAGTTCGCTTCATCTAGGCTGGTTTTTGTGACTTGGTCATGTACAGACAGGGTTTCCTTGGGTCCGGGCAAGTGTTGTTGCTTAAGTGAAGTGTTGTAACATGATCGTGCAGTAAGCTGATCTCCTCTGATGTAGCCGTTGCCATGGGGGGTTGGAAATTTCATCAACAGCATATGCGTGGATACCATAGCCTTGAGATCATTGATGCCTGTGCGCCCAAAGATGACATTGTATGCCGTTGGGCAGTCAACCACTAGGAAGTTAGTGGTAATGGTAGCCGTGTAAGGGCCTGTACCAATAGTAAAGGGTAAATGTATGCTCCCTAAGGGTTGCACGATATCACCGGAAAAGCTTATCAGAGGAGAAATCGAGCGATCGAGCAAGTGTTCAGCTACACTGAGTGCCCTGAAAGCTTCGGCAAACATGATATTGACCGAAGCCCATGTGTCTATGAGGATTCGTCGAACATCAAAGTTGGCTATGTGAGCCTCCACGATCAATGGGTCGTTATGAGGGTAGATGATGCCTCTTTCTTCCTCAGGGTAGAAACATATCGGATCCCAGTTAGGCTTTTGATACTTCCCTCCCCTGATGTCTTCCACGTGAAACACTTGGTGACCAGGCCTCAGAATTCGTTCACTGTTTTTCATGGCCCTATTGGAAGATTCAGATATGGGTGTGCCGCCGCTTATGGAATATATGACATTCACCTGGCGTTGGTTACGGTTATCCCTTTGAGGGTGAAGGAGTAATTGATCAATTTTTCCTTCTCGTGCCAAAGCTTCAATACGATCACGGAGGATGATACATTTCTCGCTATCATGGCCGTTATGCTCATGGTAGCAACAAAACATGCCCGCGTTATTCGGGGGCGTGTAATCTGGGTGCCTCGGCTTTGGCTTTGGTATCAGGTGAGCTATGCTGGGGTAAATGGCCGCGCATGTGGCATTCAAGGGCGTGTATGTCTCATACCTTGGGGTAGGGGGTATCTTGACGCGGGTTTGACCCACTGCATTGACTGCCTGGGGGCGAGCGTTATTGTGGCGATACCCTTGGTTATCGGGATAGTGTCCCTTACTCTTTTTACTGGAAGGAGAGTGGTGAGGATGGAAATCCTTCCTCTTGCCTTGAAATTGATATGTCTGTTGATTCGGTGAAGCATTATGCAAGGCATGGGGAGGTGCCACTGCTGTTTGGAAAGTCGAGGTCTTCTCATTTAGGTGAGTCTGGCTTCCACCTCCCACTTGTTGATAAAGGATGGTTGTAGGGGGTTTCTCCTGATATGTCTTTGCCTCGGCGGAGGCATGGTTATAAGCCTGCGCCATCACCTCAGAGTAAGTCTTCCAAGTATTGGCATTGATCATGTATTTAAAGAAACAATCACGTAGCCTGCCGTGAAGGCTTTGAGGGCAGTCTTGTCGTCTGCCTCGGCACACCGGGAGTATTCATGGCTGAAGCGGCCAGCATACATACGTAATGACTCGTCTGGCTTCTGGCGGATAGTGTACAGGTCATCTGCAGAGTGCAAGCGATCGGTTTGGAAAATGTGTTGGGAAACAAATAGTTTCCTCAATTCCTCAAATGAGTCTACCGTCTCAGGTGTAAGACGACAATACCAATTTAGAGCTCCGCCAGAGAGGGTGGAGGGGAAGAGAAGACATCGCTCTTCGTCGGTGTGCATCCGGTATGCCATGGTGGACTCAAAGAGGTTAAGGTGCTCAATCGGGTCCTCTTTCCCAGTATAAAGTTGCAAGCCAAGCTTCTGCTTTGTCTTTGCTTGAAGGGGGGTGTTGAGGATCCTCCTTGTAAGAGGGCCAGGCCTGGGTTGGTTCCAGTCAGGTATTTCAGCCTGACGTTCAGCCTTCAACTTGTTTACTTCCTCAAGAAGTTGTAGGACAAGGGGGTCCTGAGCGGAGTTACGTGCCACTGGAGCTTTCTTTCGTAAATCTCCATCTCCTCTTGGAATTATGAAGGTTTGATCAAGGGCATGTGATTTTTCCCTGGACTCGCTGTACTGGCTTCCAGGGTATGTCTGTCGGAACACCTCTGAGTCCCCTGTACCCTCATGTCTCTCTAGGACTTGTTGCCCATTCCCCAAGTTGGTGGCCGGCTCGGGCCGTGGCAGGGGACCGAGTTTCTCAGAAATCCTTGGGTCATTGATCTTTGAGCTTATATGGATGGAATTCTCTCGACGTTGCTTCAGGAAATCCCGACAATCGCGAAAGACGGCCTTCGATCCTTCTGCCCCTTCAGCAAAGAGGTGTCTCCCTCCGCTTCTCATGGTTCGGGTCGAAGCAACTGGGTTAAGAGAAGCCTCATGTTGATTATCAAATCGAGGGGTAATTTGTTCCCTATCAGGGATATCTATGTCGAATGCATGTGACCCTCCATGTTGGAGGGCACCCAGTTGATGGTTGACTTCCACGGGGGCAACAAGCTCGCGTGTCTGAGCTTGCCTAGCTTCGTGGAGTGTCTCGAAGAGCTTCTCATATTGCTCCTGGAGGACCTCATTCCTCATTGCTATCTTGTTGTTCTGAGCTTCCAACTCATCGACTTTAGCTTGAAGAAGAACTCGTTTTCCTTCCTTCTTTCGTTGTTTCGCACTATGTGCAAGAGGGGTGTCATTCTGTGTGCTGTGGCTTCCTTCGCTTCCCATGTTGGAGAGGGATGCCTGGTCAAAAGAAAGTGTACGAATGATAGAAACCAGCTTGACACAGCTGAAGAGAGTAGGAATAAGTGTCGTTTCCCACAGACGGCGCCAAATGTTGATGCACAAAATCAGCGAAGACTTTGGTACAACAGAAAGTGTCAGGTTTTGTGACCTTCGCTTGGTTGCTTCGGTCACTAGTGAGGATAAGTACGTAAATAAATAGAGACAGAGAAGCAAACACAGGATGTACGTGATTCACCCAGATTGGCTACGTCCACGGAGTAGAGGAGTTCTTATTAGTAGTGAAGGGCTTACACAAGTACAAAGGATCAAGCTCTCAATTTAGTGAGTTCTTGTGAATGATTTAACACAAATGGCATTAGGCAATATTGTGGGGGAATGACCCCTATTTATAGAAAAACTTGTAGCTTTGTCACATTGACATGTGTCATGTTATGATTGGTTCTTGATGTCGACACGTGCTGCGCTCTGATTGGCTTCTAATCTTGACACGTGTCGAGTAGTGATTGGCCTCCTGGTCGGAGGGGAACTCTTCTGGGTCCTTGACAGTATAGCGTTGGCCGGTGCTCGGTAGTTTCGGGATTGGTCAAGTATGGTACAAACAAAATTGAACCCAAAAGGCAAAAGCCTTATCTAACAAATAGATACATATAAACAGTCGTTTGTGATATAGATATGGGTGTACCTGGAAGAATAGAGACACATTGAGTCGGAGAGAGCAAAGAGAGATAGTGGAATTTTGGAGGAATACTGGACGACGGCGAACTGCGTGACTAGAGCTGTTGGTGGCTTTGATTCTGCAGCGAGAGACAGTTAGAAAAAAGTATTTAATAAATCTTACATAATTTCAAATTTTAAGATAGAATTAACGGTTTACAAAATTAGAGGTAGTTGATGACATAGCGTACCGGCTTCAAGTATGCTAAAGTTAGACATACTCTTCAGTATGTAGAGGTGTTTTCTTTTCTGAATTTTTCCTGCAACGGTTCACAGCTAGTTTCTACAAATTTTGAAAACGGGAGTTGTTAATAAGGATGTGTGTTAAATTTATTTTGTAACAATAGGACGTATAAGAAAACCAAGTGAAGTGAAGGTGCATATAGAATGCATACGAATGAAGATTTTTTCAGAAAACTTTAACGAAAAGTCAGTACTGTTTACTTTAACAAAAAATTATATTTTTATACTAGAAAGTCAATTATGTTACTATTTATTTTACTTTTTATTTTATTTTTATAGTTAAAATTCAAAATTTTCAAATTCTTTTCATTAGTTTTTTTTTAAGAAAAATAATGAAAAGAACTTTAAATTAATGATAAGGACAAAATAAAAAGTAAAATAAATAGTATCAAAATTGATTTTTTAAAGTAAAAATGTGATTTTTCATTAAAGTAAACAGTATGAGCGTTTTGTTAAAGTTATTTTTTAAGGGTTTGAGGGCTTAAGTTTGTTTTCTAATTTGAAGCAAAGAATACTTGAATGAAATGCCAAATAAAAACCCTAATATCTTACGTGATCACAAATCGGTGAGAGAGCTTTTGGGAAAAAGGGTCAGAATGGATTTGGAGGTGGAATTTGCAAAGCCAAGACGATGTTGCAGTCTGGGTGTCGGCCGACGATCAACATTTCTTCTTGGGTTTTCCGATGGACGACCAAGACTGGTTTGTAGTGTGGCGGCGGTGGGGATTTGTAGCGGCGAGTGAGAGAGAATAGCTGATTGTGAGAGTACTTATGGAAATGGATTTGTTGGTTTGAGGTTTTTGTGGTGGTCGAGAGCGACATAAGAGATAAAGCGGGATGAAGCCATGGGGGAAAGAGGAGGCAACGACAGCGCACAAATGGAGAAAATCAACACGTACACCATGCCTGTTTTCGTCATTTCACTCTGCAAGTAAGAAAAAGACAAAAAAAATTATACAGTAAACAGGGGCATTTCCGTCATTTTACTGTACTTAAGATGATGGGGTTTAGTATATATAGAATTTCTTAATAATGATATTTAAACTTCTAAAATAAAAATATCTTAATGGACTTTGATGTTGCACGATGATTTTTTATTTTTTATTTTTAATAAATGATACTATCTACACTAAGAGATATGAGTTTTGTAATAAGTTATGGGCTTTAAGTTGGCTTTGGTTTATTATATTGTCAAATATTTTCTGCATTTCGATTTTAATTAATATAATTTTGTGATTAATACTTATTTGGTCCTCAGGGTACTTAAATTGAGGATCTTAAAAGAGCAGGATTGTCAAAGTTGATTTGTTTGATTTTATTTGACAAAAATTAAGTATAAAACTTTTTGCTTATAAATAATAAAAAATACTATTAAATTATAATATTAAATGACGATATTGCAAAAAGTTAAAAGCAGTCATCCAATGAATTGGTAGTTGGATTAAGCAAGTTTCGACCTTTATAGTGGCATTAAATTATATTATCAATTCTCCCAGTCATTGTCTTGCTGTCAATCAAACCAAATTGTCTTCAACCAAATTGTCTTCCCCTCTACCGTCTTCCTTGATTAATCCCCGTCCCAGAAGAAATAAAGCACCCATCCCAGAAGAAATAAAGCAACTTCAAATTTCGCCACCACAATTCATCACCACAGCCATCATCACCTCCAAGACAACTACTCAGATGGGCCCGAATTCACCGCAACAACAGCAACAACCCAACAATAACAGCCATCCAATCAGCATGTGGGAAGCGAACAAGGATCGGTTGCTCACCATGTACCAGATGATCTCAGAACCCCCAAGACTTCTAAGCAATGCAGCAGGAAAACCCTCCTGCTGCATCTTCAGAGTCCCACAGAGCCTTGTCGAGATAAACGGTAAGTCCTACAACCCCCACATCGTCTCAATCGGTCCTTACCACAGAGGAGAGCCACGTCTCAAGATGATCGAAGAGCACAAGTGGAAATACTTGGGCTCTTTGCTTGCAAGGACAGAGCCCAAAGGGTTGACTTTAAAGGACTACTTGAAGGCCTTGGAGCCATTGGAACAAAAAGCTAGAGAGTGTTACTCAGAAAACATAAATCTTAGCACGGATGAATTTTTGGAAATGTTGGTTCTTGATGGTTGCTTTATAATCGAATTGTTTCGAAAATTCGGGCTTTTGGTTCGGTTCGAGCGTGACGATCCTCTTGTCAACATGGTTTGGATAATCCCATTTTTGTCTAGGGATTTTCTTAGGCTTGAAAATCAAATACCCTTCTTTGTTCTTCTGACTTTGTTTGATCTCACAACAATGGAAGAACATAAAGAAAATGGGAAGTCATTGTCGTTGCTTGCCGTGGAATTCTTCAACAACCATATGCAGAGGCCTGATAATGTCATTCAAAAGCACCGCAATCTTACAGGCATGCTCTCTCAAACTTCAATGTTATTTTAAAATTAATTTTTCTGATTTGTTTTTGTTACTTGGAAAGTGATCCAACGCTTAATCTATCTTAATAGGGGCGGAGGGAACATAGGCCCGGGGTTGCACATGCCCCCTCTCAAATTTTTCCGTGCGAGATGCTTAATTATATTAATCTTGTCAAAATCGTGGCAACATACAGTTCTTAAGTGCCCCTCCTCTCTTCTTTGTCTTCTCAGGATCACCCCTTACGTCTAAAATCTTTTTAAGTTGCATGTATTCTTATAAGAGAATAAGTATTAGATTAGTGATTAATACACAGGTAAAGGAAATAAATAAATAATAAATCAGGGATTTATATATGTATGATGTATCAAGTTGAAAAATTAGCTTGGTTTGTCAAAAAAAAGAGAAAAAAAAAGATGGAATTTTTTTCAAGTGCCTATCTTTGTTCGATTTCTGGCTGCACCCATGACCCAAACCCTACTCTATTTTCTTGCCTCCATAGCGGTGAGTTCAATAATTTTATTTAACATATGATTCTCATGAATTTGGGTGTAACGAAGGTGGAAAAATAGACTAGATTTTGGGTCAGGGGGTGACGTGGGTATGAACCTCAAGCAAGGCATCAGGCCATTCTTGCCTGACTGCTTGGTTCGTGGGAGATGAGCCCACCCAATAGGTGTTGGGGGATTCAATCACCTAATAGGCAGAGCAATTTGTAGAGGTAGAGTTGCTCTTAAAGTAAACCCAATAACTTTTTTTTTTTGTTTTATGGAAAAAACACTAATATAATATACAGTATTTTTCTCATATTTTTACACAGATTTTCTTCGGTACATGAATTTTCTGCCCCTCTATACGTTAACATCGTGTTTAATACCTTGTTTTCAGGTATGCATTTGCTTGACTTGTTACGCTCAAGTGTTATACCCCCAGGCCATGAAGAGCCACGTAGCAGCAACACCATCCCGACACATACCATCCACTGTGTCTCGAAGCTTCGCCGTGCCGGAATCAAGTTCAATCCGGGCAAGGACGAAAGCTTCTTGGTGATCAAATTCAAGCGCGGTGTCATCGAAATGCCGCCTATAACAATCGATGATTTCATGAGCTCGTTCTTACTTAATTGTGTGGCCTATGAGCAATGCCACAAGTCAAGTTCTAAGCACATCACCACCTACGCCACATTGCTCGATTGCCTTGTGAACACATACAAGGATGTTGAGTATTTGTGTGACCGTGACATCATCGAGAATTGCTTTGGGAACGATGGGGAAGTTGCTCGATTTATTAATAATTTGGGGAAGGATGTAGCTTTTGATATGGATAGATGTTACTTGGCTAAGTTGTTCAATGATGTGCATGACTATTATGGGAATAGTTGGCATGTTCAATGGGCTAGCTTCAAGTACACTTATTTTGATACTCCATGGTCCTTCATATCTGCGTTTGCTGCTCTGATTTTGTTGATACTCACCTTGATGCAGACCTTCTACACTGTTTTGAGTTATTACCATATTTGAAAACTTATAGTGTTGATGCTTACCAGTTAGGATTATGATATGACATTAAGGTCTTTTGATATGTTTCAATTCTACAGTTAGTGTCTTATATATATAGGGATAGAATCAAGGGACATATGTTTTTACAAATATTTCTACACTTCTGTTTGGGCCCAAAAATATTGTTTTGGGCCGAGTTTAGAATCGTTCTCGGCCCAGTGTTGGTTGGGCCGAGTTTAGAATTCTTTTCGGCCCAGAGGCCGTGTATAGGTATCGTTGGGGGTTATCTAACTTATGGGCCACGCAGTCGAAATTAGCCATATCCCATCGGGGAATTGGGGATGTGGATGAGTCATATCATGAGAAAGTTTTGATAGGATCAGGATGCTGGAATTGAATACGGCCTGATAACGAGTTATGTTCAAAGTCCAAGTAGGAGGAGGATTGGCCAAGATAAAGTTGAATCAGGGAAAAGAGTTATAATCCGGGAATGATTGGGATTCAATACAGGTTGGCTGCTATAAATAGGGAGGGAAGGCATCGAAACAAGCCCCTCCAATTCGACACACAAATTGCCCTGCGCATACCCTCGCTCTACGCAAAACCTCTCAACAACATTGAGATTTTTGTTTTCATTTTTCTGCCAACACATCTTCAGTTTGGATAAACAACACTGTGAAGGCAATCGGTGAACATTTTTAGTTTGGATAAACATCACTGTTGCCGTAGAATCAGCCGATCGTGAAACACCTTTAGTTTGGATAAACAGCACTGCAACAGGGCCGATTGGTTATCCATCAAAGTCTCGGTCGAGAAGGATTTTCGAATCCTCATCGGCAGAGGTCATCTCATTAGCCTCTTCGGCGAAATGAGGTGTTACGAGTTACTAGGCTCGGCACATCGAACGCCGGGTTGTTTATGATTGGTTATTCGCAAGTAGGTTTTAGAGTTCGGCATTCTGACGGCCAAACCACTTTCACAATCAAGACATATATTTGTTTTGAATACTTATGTCCCTATATTCTAGTGTCGATTCGACGTGCTTATACTCTTATGAATATAATCATGGTGACCGAAGCTGGTGCCGACGATTTGTGAACTTCGCAGAACTAGTAGCTTTATTTTCAAGCTTTAGAACCTGAAGGCCGATGTGTGTTCCTTCCTCGGTCGCAGTCGCAAGATTGAGAAGTCAGCCGCGTGCTCAATGTAATATCAACAAATTTGACTCCTTGGTCAAGCTCGGCCGACGAGTTGGCACGCTCCGCATACGACCGAAGGATGTAGTTAGCTTACTAATTACTCGGCCTGCACGCCACGTAGGCTTGGTAGTTTTTAAGGTCAATATTTTGGCACGCTTGGTGGGACCTAATGCTAAAACTACCTAATTCATGACCATTGAGACACGATCAGTAAAAAAGAAAACAACTATGGGAAAATTAGCGACCGATCTGCTGGTTTAAAGTCCTAGACAAAAGGTGTCACATGCGCGAAATCCTATTGTCGCTGTGATCCCTGAGGCTGCAAGTGTGACACACTGAGAAAAAGAAGTGTGCCTCGGTGCCCAGCCTCAAAATACAGAAATACCCAACCGAATCGCAGGCGTTTTCATTGAAGGAATAATGAAAGACTGCGATGAAGACGGTGGTGAAGGCTTGGATCCTCTGACTAGGTATTTTCTTCAAAGACGACTTGATGAGCAATCTCGACAAGTTGAACAGACAGTGGGCCACAAAATGAACCGTTTGCTTGAAGTGATACAAAGCAATGGTGAGACCTAAACCAGATTTCTCGATATAATAGTTAGCAAAGTCTTTGAAGAGAAACCTGTTGATCAGGCTCGACAACTTCCACTTAAAGGTAATTCCCTACAGGCCGAAGTAGTATCTACTCGGCCCAAAACAATTGACTTAGAAAAAAAGGGAGGATCAAGTAGTAGGTCAGATGGATCCAACCAGAGA